TCTGCTGGGTAATCAGAACCACGAAGCAGCTAATTTGGACGTGATAGTATAGGTTCAGTGGTCCTCCCGACAGATCAAAGGAGCGTTGACTCTCTTCCGGATTGTGGTGTCTTCGAAGGGGAGACGGTACGTAAGGTTGCAGCTGGTATGATACCAACATTCAAAGGCTTCTTTTTGAAGTTCTTTGTAGAGGACGACTGTATTAGTGGGAGTTATGACGAAGCTCAGTGGCATAGCACATATAGCCACGTCGTTCTTTTAGCGCCCTTAAACCAGGTATTGCGGCCAAGGGTTGTGTGATAGTGTACCAATCTGGACACTGGTCTGGAGGCAACTTACACGAGACCTGCAGGCACAAATACCGCCGAATTCGAAATAGGTCCGACGTGAGCGATTAATCTTGATTCCAATTCGTTTCTGGCTTTTCGGTTGTCCATTTCTATTCTTGAGCAACCTGTCAACATCTTGAACTTCATCTTAACAAGGAAGCTGTGGAATTAAAACAGTTCACAAGGATAACCTCCAGCTCTGGGTGGAGGCGATCCCAACGTGAGCTGGATACTGTTCGAAACATACCAGTGATTCGGGGGGTGGTCCCTAAGCCCACTGCAGTGTAGCAGCTTGGATATCCGTACCGGCACTGAAGGTGCTCGCCTCTTGTCAGTGTCAGCTGAAAAGGATCTCAGAGTTATGGCAATGCTCAGCCTGAAATCATCCACAGATAATTCTCTAAAACTGATATGCGCTTCCAGATTACTTGGAGTTACCAGCCGTTAACTCTCCTAGATGTGATCAATTCCGGAGTATGGTCAACATGCTCCAGTACCACTTATCAAAAAGAAGAGTGGTCTTCTGGAGAGAGCATAGGGATGCGGAACTGAAGGAACTGCCAGTTTTCGAAAGGACGCGCGTGGAAACTGTTCAACGAGACTCAAACTCTTTCCATCGAACTGCAGACGTCGCCGTGGAAATTTAGTACATACCGGTCGAAAATTGAAGGGGAAAATTGGGATGGGATCCAGAGGCTTATCTACCACCACCAAGTGCAAAGGTCATATAGAGGGTCAATTAAAAAACATTCCACTATCAAACCACATTCACTCTGTCGAGTCACGTGGTTCATGGGTGAAACAGGTTTCCCAAGGAGACCTTGATGCTGTTAATAGGATGCTTAAAACGAAAAGTGGTAGAGCCAGATCACCGCAGGTAGCAAAAACTGTTACTGTCGATACAGTGAAGCCTAAATCTGATCCTCCAAGTGCTTAACGCTCGGGGCTGTGCAGCGGTAAGAAAAAGCCAAAGTGGTTAGGGATCTGAACGGGCAGTGATCAACACCAACCAGTCCGGTGAAGTACAGTGAGACGCTTACCTGACTGCATTCCAGAGCTTGTTACAGAAAAAGCGATATCCCTGTACACGTAGGATGTCCAGATTGATGTTTCGTCCTTGTTTGGTGTAAGCACAGAGAGCAAAGCGCAACGCGTCCGTCCCACATTCAGGAATACCTTTTGGGAAGTCTTTGGCCTGAGCCTCACATGCACGCTTCAGTTCTCGAGGATCTAAATTGCCAGTTTCATATTCTTCCGCGCTCCCAACGGCTGTGCAACAACTGGTACACTCAAACTGATTGCGGCAGAAACCACTACCGTATACATGCACACTATCTTGGAGCTTACTTCAGGACAAGACTGTTAACGACTTGGAATATTCTGACATTACCTTGCTCAGATTCCATCTAGATTCCGTAATGAACCTAAACAATCTTGCGCGACTGGGTGGAGGAACCGGTGTAACATGGTCGTGACACGCCAGGTCGTCCATAGATTTATTTGTCCGGTTGGTTCCATGTCCGACCATAGTATTTCTGAAAACTCAGACCGCTTTCTTCCAGCTCAGGCACTTTTGTTCGGACAGAGTTGACCTGCTACTAGTACCGATACTGTGTTTGACAATTCCGTGTGGTTTTCATCGTTGACCATTTCTTCGTCTCTGTCCCTTCCAGGTGGCCGAGGGTCGTCTACGCATCGTGCCTGAGATGCACGTTCGTACTTGGAACAGCTGGTTAACAGATTGTCATGACTGGTGTATTTCTCGGCAGTTATGGTGGGGGCACCGTATTCCGGCTTATCATGTGTCCATTTTCAACTCAGAGACAGGTGCCTACGATATGTTGGACGTGAGTTTCATTGTCAATCACTGGCGCCCCTGTGTTTAACCTCCTCAAATTAAAAGTACTCATTTATTTGTGTTCCAATGTATAGGGTACACTGAACAGTTCGTGGGTTGTTGGTCGCACGGAACAAGAAGCCTTGGAACACGCGTGTCAACAATTCAATTGCCATCCGGATGTGATTCGTCTCACTCAGGACACAGATGTACTGGATACATGGTTCTCCTCACAACTCTTTCCTTTCTCCGTTTTCGGTTGGCCTGATGATACGCCCGACTTGCGCGCCTATTATCCGGGCAATTTATTGGAAACAGGACACGATATCCTATTCTTTTGGGTCGCCCGAATGGTCATGGTCGGATTGCGTTTACTCGGAAAACTCCCTTTCGACACGGTCTACTTGCATGCAATGGTGCGCGATGCTCATGGGAAGAAAATGAGCAAATCGCTTGGCAATGCCATCGATCCAGTGGATGTGATTCACGGAATCAGCTTGGAAGGTGTGTCTCCATGGCATGTTTTTCTGATGCTTATACCAGAGTAACTTCACATCCACTTTTCAGCCGGGCGATATGGTACTAGACGCTTTTCGGTTTAGGATAAAGTTATGGAATTATCCATGAGCTGTTGCTTTTGTTCGGTGACTTTCATTGAACAGTAACACAGCTGACAGCGTACCGACAAATGTGCGTCCCAGACATTGTGTAAAACTGTTGTGGCATCCGTACATCAGTCGCCTCCCAGGATGTTCAGGCAGCAACCCTGGGACTCCAAAACACTGATCCGAAAACACTTCCGTGATGCTTAAATTTGATGTTTTCAGTTTGACAGTTCGCTGTCTACGGATGTTTGAACTTCTTTTGGTTTTCTTCCTGTCCTTTAGCCCTGCAGAAGCAACTTGAAACTGGCAATTTAGATCCTCGAGAACTGAAGCGTGCATGTGAGGCTCAGGCCAAAGACTTCCCAAAAGGTATTCCTGAATGTGGGACGGACGCGTTGCGCTTTGCTCTCTGTGCTTACACCAAACAAGGACGAAACATCAATCTGGACATCCTACGTGTACAGGGATATCGCTTTTTCTGTAACAAGCTCTGGAATGCAGTCAGGTAAGCGTTTCACTGTACTTCACCGGACTGGTTGGTGTTGATCACTGCCCGTTCAGATCCCTAACCACTTTGGCTTTTTCTTACCGCTGCACAGCCCCGAGCGTTAAGCACTTGCAGGACCGGATTTAGGCTTCATTGGTCAGAACGAGCATATTCGTTCGGCGCGGCGCGATGGAGAGTCTTATATCAGTTGCTTCACTTTCCGAACAGGTTGTCTGAAACTGGATTCTTGTGAATAAACGAAGTGATATGACTTGGCTCTACCACTTTTCGTTTGAAGCATCCTACTTACAGCATCAAGGTCTCCTTGGGAAACCTGTTTCACCCATGAACCACGTGACTCGACAGAGTGAATGTGGTTTGATAGTGGGATGTTTTTTAATTGGCCCTCTGTACGACCTTTGCACTTCGTGGTGGTAGAGAAGCCCCTGGATCCCATCCCAAACTTCCCCTTCAATTTTCGACCGGTATGTAGTAAATCTCCACAGCAACTTCTGCAGTTTGATGGAAAGATGTTGAGTCTCCTTAAACAGTTTCCATGCCGACCTTTCGAAAACTGTCAGTTCCTTTAGTTCCGCTTTCCTGTGCTCTCTCCCGAAGGCCACTCTTCCCTTTTTGACACGTGGTACTGGAGCATGTTGACCATATATCGGAAGTGACCACATATAGGAAAGTTAGCGACTGGTAGCTCCAAGTAATGTGGAAGCGCATACCAGTTTTAGAGAATTATTTGTGGATGATTTCAAGCTCAGCATTGCCATAACTCTGAGATCCTTTGCAACTGACAAGAGACGAACACCATCAGTGCCGGTACGCATGCCCAAGCTGCTACACTGCAATGGGCTTAGGGACAACCCCCCGAATCACTGGTATGTTTCGAATAGTATCCAGCTCACGTTGGGGTCGCCTCCATCCAGAGCTCGAGGTCTTCCTTGTGAACTGTTCTATCTCCACAGCTTCCTTGTTAAGATCAAGTTCAAGATGTTGACAGGTTGCTCAAGTATAGAAATGGACAACCGAAAAGCCAGAAA